TTATATTTTAAAAATAGTGGGTCTGGGTCGGGCGGCCCGGTGAAAATTATTTGTTTCGTCCATCTCTTAGGTAAGTCCCGACATTCCGCGTGTCCTCATTGAACTCCAAATGTAGCTCTACGTTCGAAGTCCTGACGTAATATTTTATCTTCTTATAGAGGTGCCAATTAGTTGTTTCATAAGTATTATGTAGTGAAATTTAGGGGCCATTTGTTTGGGCTCTCGAAATCAGGTTTTAAAGAAAATATCGTTTTATGGTTATTTGATTCCTGCTTTTCCGTCCCATGGTTTTAAAGAAAATATCGTAGGAAGACGAGGTTTTTTCTTAAGAGGAAAAAATGTTACATCATCACTCCCAATGTAAAATTATGTTTGGAGTGCAATTAAATAATGAGTATTCTTGGAACGTCGGACTCATATGCCATTCCGGTATTAAAAAAAAAAGGGTGCCCGATCGACCCAAATCTAAGGGTCTGTTTGGGACAGCTAGTGTGTTTCAGGATAAGCTGCTTATCCTAAAACACGGCCCCCGAGCCAGCCACAAGGGCAGACCCGCGACCTGCGTTTAGTTTAAAAACTCAAACACAGTTTCGGATAAGCTGACAAAACGCTTAAGTTGCCCCAAAGAGACCCTAACTTTAATCATTATTCTTAAATTTAATATCTTTTAATTAAAATTAAAAAATTACATATTTTAAAAATATTGAGTACGCGAAAAAACAAATAAACGTATGCCATTCTTGAAAGTTAACGGAAACAATTGAAATTACTTTATTTTCACAACTTTTAGTGCTTTAAAACTTCAATAACATCGAACACTGATTCACACTTAAATAACACAAGTAATACAAAAATAGTCGGTGTGCCCGTGTTAATTGATTTGGGGTTGTGTTATTCGGAATATTCTCCGTATTATTTCAATTTCTACTGTGTTATTTGGTCTTCTAAACATTTTATTCGAATATTCCGCGGGGTTATTTTACATTCGGCGGTATTACTTGTGAAAAATGAAGTGTTATGCGAGTATTATGTGGTGTTATTTGATTACTTTGTTGTGTTATTAGAAGCGTCGCAACTTTGGGTTGGATTAGGGCCGGGGCACACTATCAGAAGCTAATTTTTAAATTTTAAAAATAGTGGGTCTGGGTTTCGGGTCGGGCGGCCCGGTGAAAATTATTTTTTTCGTCCAGCTCTTAGGTAAGTCCCGACATTCCGCGTGTCCTCATTGAACTCCAAATGTAGCTCTACGTTCGAAGTCCTGACGTAATATTTTATCTTCTTATAGAGGTGCCAATTAGTTGTTTCATAAGTATTATGTAGTGAAATTTAGGGGCCATTTGTTTGGGCTCTCGAAATCAGGTTTTAAAGAAAATATCGTTTTATGGTTATTTGATTCCTGCTTTTCCATCCCATGGTAGCGACCACCGTTTCCCTCACCGTTTACGGACGACGTGGTGCGTTCCGCGGTTTGTCATTTGTGGATAAACACTGACATCTATCTCTTCACCTCACCTCGCTCCACAGTATCGTGCTCTAGTAGCTGGTCCTCATCTCCCTCTCATCGCTGGTAACATTTTCGCAAATCCCCTTCCCCTACATTCTTCTACTCAGTCATTTCCCTTCTCCTACATTCTTCTTCGTCATTATTCTTCTCATACGTTCTTCTTGAAATGCATTATTTCTGGTGGAGGGAAAGAAAAATGGAATTTCTCCTTCTAACATGAAATAACTACTCATTTTACTTGTGCGTGATGAGCTGATTCATCATCCATGTCTTTTACCAATGAGATCTATGGATATATCAAAGTTCCCATGCTTGAAATCTCATCTATTTCTGCAAGTTTTTTTTTTCTTGAAATTATTTTCTTATTTCAACATTTTTGTTCGGTTAATGGAGAAAAATTAGTTTTCTGTTGCGTGCGATTGGGGCAAATGAAGAAGATTCCTCTGCAAATTCCACTTATTTATAGAACAAACTCAAGTTATGATGATTTTTATAGAAGCTTTGCCCACATACCACTCAATTCCTATGTATTTACATATATTGCACCTAAAACTTCATTTTTTTAAATACATGTCGCCTTGCTATGCTTGAATGGGTTTATTTCTCTTTTTAGAAGTTAGAAAATAGCATTTTTGTCGTAATATGAAAGATTTGGGTGGTATAATGGTTCAAATTTGTTAGATATGTGAATATATAGAAATGGGCTAGTATGTGTCGATCATTGTCTTGTTCTATTTGTATGGTATGTTTTGAGCATCCCTTTTATCTACCTTTATGCGAGAGGAATTTTAGAAAAGAAGTGCTTGTGTATTACGACAAATATGATTTCTATACTTCTATGGGAGAACATATGAATGGTATCTACAAGCTTCAACCATTGTTAATTTATTTGAAGTGAGAGTTTTATGGGGAATTGATGTGTATACCACACAATTCCTTTAACTATATCTAGCTAACACCTAAAGTTTCATATTTTCATGTATAACACTTTGGAGTCACGAAGCTAAGCATAAAAAGGTGGACTTCAATTTTAAAAAGTTTTTAGCAGTGGCCCTAAAGAAACAAAATTGGTTTTTTATAAAATTTATTTGAGAGATTAAATTAAGAAATAGACCGACAACACATTTCAGTAAAGAAGATTAGCAGAACAACATAAAAAATTTTCAAGAGAGAATGGAGAGATTGTATGACAGAACTTAATTGATGATCAAATGGGATCAATTAAGAAAAGAATTGAAAATTTGGAAAGAGCTCAAAAGAGGATCTACTGGACTTATTTGGAATCCAATTAAAAACATCATAGATACATCAACAAATTGATGAAAAGAGAGGTTAGATGTAAAATAAAAATTTTATCATTTGTAATTGTTCGGTTATGTTACAAGTAGAATTATTATAAAGGATTTTTACCTTTGTTTTTGTTAATGACAGGCTCTACCAAATGATAAGAAATTCAGATTTCATGAAATCGAGCCTAGGCTAGAGAATAAACTTGATGTCATGTTCAATGGTGTTGTTGTGACTGATGGGCATTCCTGGACTCCTCAAAATTCTCAAAAAGCTAGAGAAAGTCAAAATGAACACATTCAAAGAGCATCATATGAGACAAAGAGCATCATATGAGATAAAGAAAAATTGTCATGCTTTTCTTAAGAGTCAAATATCATAATTAATTACCGCTTGCACAAACCAATCATCTGAGACTAACACCACAAAACCATATTCATCCATTCCAGATGTGATAAAGATCTTAGAACAAACTACATAAGTTTATGAATAAATGCAATTATATCTTTATTCAATGAAGCTACTTGAAGATCGAGTGAAGATGGAGTTTTTCATATCTAGGGCACCTAAAAGGAGAGTTCATTACCTACGCTTTTTTTAGGAAAATCAAGACAACTAATCCCTATCTTTTTTATGTTTTCCCTATGGAGTATGCTTACTCAGTTTTGTATTTGTAGACCATCTACTCTCATGATTACTGTAGTGTCAACCTAAAATTATAATGGTGTGTACCTTTTTAATTTTATGATCAAATAATTAATATTTGTAGTAGCCATGTTTTTTGTTGCGATGATATCAACCGTGTTGTGTTGTGGTATGATGTTGTTGTTCATTTTTATTTACATTGATATGTTCTCCTCAAGATATATTTTATTAAAATGTTTTGTTGTTATAAATTGTAGTGAATGCAAATATTCAAAATTTTGTTGCAGCAATGGATGCTACAAATAGAGAATATAGAAAGCATTGCAGGCAGATTATTACAACAGTTGTATGCCTGTTGATTGAATACTATGACTCATACATCAATTGAACTTCATGCATGACCTCAAGTTTTACTGGGAATAAATGGAAAAGTGAGATGCACGAGGGTATCCAATGAGATTTCATAACATGTTTTCCATGATGCAACATATCTTCAGTGATTTTTTGAGTGAGCTCCACACTACTTACAATCTTCATGACAGATTTTGAAATGGCGAGTCAAGCGGTACGTGGAAGAAAAGAGATGTTCAAAGGGGTGAAGTCACATTTAATGCTTTAATCTTTTTTTCTACATCTTGAGAAAAATAATTGAATGCAAGCTTTGTAATTTTGATAATTGAATGCAAGCTTTGGCATAGTGCCTAGAAAAATTGGTACTTGGCGATTTTTCAGCTCTTAGTCATTTAAAATCTTCTTTGTTTTATTACAGGATTATTTTATTAAAAATGAGCTCAAGCAATGCGAGAAGCTCTAAGGGGACCAAACATCAACTAGTCTTTTGTGATTGTAACATGTGTTGTATTTATGGCACAAAAGAGTGACAACATAGACAGAAAGTTTTATAAATATTCCAAAAATTTGATTAATAAAGGATGCAGATTTTTTCAGTAGGTTGTTGAGCAAAGAGATGCAATCACAAATCAAGGATCTCCCAGCAGATGAAGGTCAAAAGATTTTTTGTTTGTTAGAGAAAGTTTAATTAGCTTTAAAACAATGTTCCTTATCTTAATGACGTCCCATTTTTCGAACAAGATGTACAATCAAAGGCAAGGTTTGTTAGTTGATTGCGGATAGTGTATGTACAAAGAATGTGATAGCTTAGTCAATTGTTAAAACTCTGTGATTGAAAACTTTGAAACACCCAAACCTTAATAAGAACAATTGGATTAAACGGGGAGCTGATATTTTGGTCACTGTTTTATCTAGAGTAAAATTCTCAATTATGAAACATTTTAATTGTGTAGTTTTATGTGATGTAATTGAACTGGATGCGTGTTATCATCCTAATGGCACTTTTAAGCAGAGGTTTGAATTACAGTATACAGAGTAACCAAATATGTAACACTACTTTCTAGAGCTCCCAAACTATTTAATTGACTAAAGCAAAAAAACAAATATATTTCAAGCAAACATAAATTTTCATAGTCCAACAAGTTAATCATTCATACACTAAATTATGTCTATAAATAACCGAGAAAGCTAACAATAATCGGTCGACAGCCATAGAATTAAACTGTCCAAAATTAAAATAGAATTCATGCAATGAAAATTAGACATAAATTTATTTCTTCACTTTTTTATCTTATTTTTATTTACTCAGGCAAAATAACTTCAAGATGTTCATTTTCCAATAAATCTTGTTGGCGTGAAAGATATAAAAATATTAGTGATAAGATGAAAAAGAACACATACTCTAAAAACTAGTTTTGAAATCATGGTAACTAGATGGTAGCTCATTGAGGGTATAAAGGATGATGCTTATTTGTCAACTTTTGAGCCTGCTGCAGCTATGTTGTCCACAAAATTTTGTATTATCGTAAGATATTGCTGTCATAGTAGTTGTACCCATCATGACATTATGAAGCTTATTTTTTAATTGAATAACCCTTACCAGTAAGTTGACCGAAATTATTTCGTGATGATGTTCCATATTTCGACATTTTTGTGGAGGTGAAGAAGATTAGAAAAAATTGCAGGGGAAATAGCGGAGAGAATAGGTGCGTTAAGATTTTTGTCTATAAGATGCCACAAATAATAATTTGGGTTTTCTTGTGAGGTGTTATTGTCATCGAGGAGAAATCTGTGTGGTAGGGGATTGTTGTAATAAAAAAAGGATTCATATCCGTTTGCGGTGAGGAGTATAAAGATTTGCATCTTTCAAACAAGACAGTTGTCCTGAGTTAAAGAAGTGGTAACCACATTCTTGATGTGCCTCATCCGATTTTGAGGACACTTGGGATGTTCCCAGTGCTTTGTTGCTGTTCTTGTGTGTCTGTAAATAGAGCAGAATACATCATAAAGGCAAGAACGCATGCTCTAACGCCAAGATAAGAAAGAAACCAGAAGAAATAAATAGATATGGAGAGAAGCCAGCCCACTTATAAGATAGGGATATAATAGGCAATGCACATAAATTAGATAATATAAAGTGTCATCTGTTGGTGAAATATTTGCGTACATAAGATGTACGCAGCGCTGCGTACATCAGAGGTTATTCTGGGGGTACAGGGGAGTTATATTCGGGTTATACCGGAGGTTACAAGGGGGTATAACCCAGATATAACTCCATTGTATCCCTAAATAATCTTTAATGTACACAACACTGCGTACATCTTATGTACGAGAATATTTCTCCATCTGTTGAGTCATTCTTTGAAATAAACATGTAAAACGTAAAATTTGAATTACCGAGAAATCGCTAAAATTTGAAATATCGCCCGTTGTCCACGTTACGAAGCCAGAGGAAATAAAATATTTCCTGCAGCAGCAGAGATCAGAGGCTCTATAAGCGAAAAGATAATTGCAATGAAATCGTCATCGACTTCGAGGAATTCTTACCAAGGCTATCCCTCTCAATCTCCATCTCATCGCTGACGAGAATGAGCTGGTGGTGGTCGGGTGCGATCGGCGCCGTCAAGAAGAAGTTCGACGATGAGTTCATCCCCGCCGCCGGCAACTATCAAAGCGTCGGCCTCGTGATCGGCGCCACCGGTATTGTCGGCATGAGCCTTGTTGAGATCCTCCCTCTTGCCGACACCCCCGGCGGCCCCCGGAAGGCTACGCCGTCTCCCGCCGCCCCCGGTCTGCCTGGCTTCCTTCACCCTCTGACGGCTTCAATGTGGAGTGCATTCAATGCGACATCTCCGATCCCGCCAATGCCCTAGCTAAACTCTCCACCCTCACAGATGTCACCCATATCTTCTACGCCGCTTGGGCCAGTCGCGAATCCGAGGTCGAGAACATCACCGCTAACACCGCTATGCTCCGCAATGTCCTCGACGCCGTTCTTCCCTCCGCCCCCAATCTGCAACATGTTTGCCTCCAAACCGGTCTCAAGCACTATCTTGGCGGCTTCGATTCTTTAGGTAAGGTCCAACCGCATGAACCCCCATTGCACGAGGATCTCCCTCGTCTCCCTGCCCCTAATTTCTACTACGCACAAGAGGATGCCCTGTTTGATTCCCTTCGCAGCCGCGACGGTGCTGTCACTTTTTCCGTTCATCGTCCCTCCCTCATTTTTGGTTCTTCACCCACCAGTCTCTTGAACATCGTTTGCACGCTTTGCGTCTACGCTGCGATCTGCAAGCGTGAGGGCGAGCCGCTGCGGTGGCCCGGGAGTCAGCTCGGTTGGGATTGTTTCAATATTGCTTCGGACGCCGATCTGATAGCCGAGCAGCAGATATGGGCGGCTGTGGATCCGAATGCGAAGAATGAAGCGTTTAACTGCAGCAACGGAGATGTGTTCAAGTGGAAGCATTTGTGGACTATACTTGCGCAGCAGTTCGAATTGGAGGCGGTGGGTTATAATGGAGAGGAGGAAAGGTGTAAATTGCAGGTGGCGATGAAGGGGAAGGAAGAGCTCTGGGACAAGATCGTTCAGGAGAATCAGCTTGCTCCGACGAGGCTGGAGGAGGTGGCTAACTGGTGGTTCGCTGACGCTGTGCTGGATTTTGGGGGTTTCTTGGATTCCATGAACAAGAGCAAGGAACATGGTTTCTTCGGCTTTCGCAATACTCGCACTTCCTTCGCTTCGTGGATTGAGAAGATCAAAGGTTGCAAGATTGTTCCTTGACGTTGATTATACGCTCTGTGTATGTATTTCAGCGCATAGCTTCTGTTATTTTCTGAACTGTTGTGGTTGAATCTGTTTGCTGTTTTCAAGTTGAGTAATGACGCTGTTCTTCATGAAGGTAATAGCTTTGGTGCTTGCTGATATCAATTAAAAATCATCTCAAGAAAATTGTAGTTTGTTAAAAAAAATAAGTGAAACTTACATACCAGATAATTCTTATTATGTATTTACATATTTAACCTCCAAACTTTGATATTTACTTATGGGTGAAATTTTGTGTTTAGGGTTTCAAAGATAATATGTGATATTTTTTATGTAATGTTAAATATTTTGTATAATGAAACTATCAATGTTTAGGTGTTAGGTATATACATACATTAGAATGATGGGGTATTTATATAAATAGCAATAAAAAAATTATGATATTTAATTACTTAATTAACCTTATAAATTATTTATTTACTTATTCAATTATTAGAAATGATCCGTGCTAAAAGATTCATGTTATAGTATACTCGATATTGTCTTAGCATTGTATGAAGATTTAACACGAACTCGGATGAAAGAAAAACGGTCAGTAGAGAGACTAAAATTTTTTACGTGAAAAACCCGTAGGGCGTGATCCAGCTGAAGAGTTTCACTGTAAGTTGATGATTACTAAAACTCATTGTCCCACAAACCGAAATTAATTACAAACTCTCCTGAGTTTCAACGTTGACGCTCAAATGAACTTGTTAGAAAAAATAACGACAACTGATTAACAATGGTTGACCGGCAAGTGGTGATAGACAATGGTTAACGGCGGTCGGCGGTGATTGACAGCGGTCGGCAGTGGTCAACGATGACAAGAGTTATGTTAGCATCTTAACTTTAGCATCTTCTCAAAGCTTCGAGTTCTTTTTAAAGCTTCGAGTTCTTTTTATCCTTTTTCATGAGAGAGATGATACTCTATTTATGGAGTTTTAGGAGCAGTTAATACAAGAGTATGAATCACTTTTGATCGGACACTCCGGAGAGGTCTCTCAACCGGAAGGCGTTTGATGGACATTTGAAAATCTTAACGATGTCGAAATTGAGGAATATTGGGCTCGTTGAATTTTTCTTGTCGAGACGCTCAATTTGACCACGAACTTGTCTGATTCAACATTTATTTTATTTTCCAAATGTGTCAGGAAAACTTCGAAACACAATTTGACGACTTGATCTGGGCTCAATTTGGTTCATATTTGATCAATGCTGGTACCATTACGTCCATCTCATCGAGTCAGCCAGTTTGATGATAAACTTGTTGAAATCTAAACTTCAGATGATTTTTTATCAAGGTTTGAATATTTCTTGCTTAAAAGATTGCTTCAAGATCTGTGTCATCCTTTGGGATTTGTGTCGTCTGATGGAATTTGTTCATGATGTGCCGGTTGCCCCCTTATTTTCAGTCAAAACCGTTTCTGTGTTTAAATAATAATAATAATATAAATATATATATTAAAGCAACGGAGCTTTGCTCAGTTTGTCTGTGGCATTGGCTTCACGCAGCGGGTGGCGGGTTTGACATATATATGGATTTTTTTTTACGACTAAATTAGACTTGCCCGAAAATAAGAGGGCAATTAATATGCCACCAACAAATTTTCATCATCCAACATGAATCTTGAGGCAATCTTTCAAATAAGAAATGTTCAAACTTCGTTAAAAACTCATTCAAAACTTCGATTTCAACAATCAAACTGGTTGGCTCGACAAGAGGAATCCAATGTTACCAAAACTAGTTCAATCCGAGTCAAGTCAAGCTCATCTCAAGTTATTAAATGACTCTTAAAAGTTTTTCGGACATATTTAGAAATTTAAATGAATATTGAATGTAGCAAGCCTAAAGTTGAATTGGTTGTCTCAACAAGAAGAATCCAACGAGTTAAGGATTGCTAAATTCCGACATCGTTAAGACACTTAAATGTCCACCAAACGTCATCTGATCAAATCGATCAAAGTTGCTCATAATCCTGTATTAATTGCTCCCAAAACACTATAAATAGAGTCTCGCCACTCTCATGAGGGGGGTTTGATGCTTGAGAAAAAAACTTAAAGCTTTGAGAACGAGCTGAAGTCCAGCACTATCCTTGTCACAGTCAATCGTTGCAGGTCTTCATCGACCACGACCGACCGCTCTCGACCACTGCCGACTTCCGTCGATTAACGCCTAGCGTCGCCGATCATCATCAATCACTGTCAATCACCTTCAACCACTGCTGGCCTCTGTCAAGCACTACTTTCGCCGTCAATCACCACAAATTATTGTCGACCACTGCTGACCTGAAGCCACCAATTGACGTTTTAACTTGAAAAACCTAGTGACTATTCCCGTCTGTGGGACAATAAGTCTCTGTAATTATCAACCTACAGTGAACTTACAACATGGTCAGATCCCATGATTTTTTTTACGGGTTTTATACGTAAAAAATTATGGTGTCATTAGGGTTTAGGGTTTAGGGTTAAATTCTTCTTCATAAATATGTGTTTAATTCTCGTGCAACACTAAACCCTAATGACACCATAAGTTTCTAAAGCTGCTGCCGTATTTGTGGTGAAAATTTTTCATATGGAGTCCGGACACAGCTGTACATATGGAGTCCAGTAATATGTCGTCACGTGCACTACATCACGGATGTTATTTGAGAGTTATTGAGGGATTATTACGGGAGTTAAAACAAGGGGTTATTGAAGGGAACCACAGATTTTATTACAGGGTTATTGCAGAGGTTATTGTAAAAGATTATTGGAGTGGAATCAAAATGGTTATTGAATGATTATTGAGGGTTAATGAAATTAATACCCAATAACCCCCAAAATCTCCCAATATCTCCCTATAATATCTAGGATTCCACTCCAATGGGTGATATGGGGTTATACTACAGTATTTTTTAAAGTGGGCCCAACACAAATCTCGAGGCAATCTTTCAAATAAGAAATGTTTAAACTTCGTTAAAAACTCATTCAAAACTTCGATTTCAACAATCAAACTGGTTGGCTCGACAAGAGGAATCCAATGTTACCAAAACTAGTTCAATCCGAGTCAAGTCAAGCTCATCTCAAGTTATTAAATGACTCTTAAAAGTTTTTCGGACATATTTAGAAATTTAAATGAATATTGAATGTAGCAAGCCTAAAGTTGAATTGGTTGTCTCAACAAGAAGAATCCAACGAGTTAAGGATTGCTAAATTCCGACATCGTTAAGACACTTAAATGTCCACCAAACGTCATCTGATCAAATCGATCAAAGTTGCTCATAATCCTGTATTAATTGCTCCCAAAACACTATAAATAGAGTCTCGCCACTCTCATGAGGGGGGTTTGATGCTTGAGAAAAAAACTTAAATCTTTGAGAACGAGCTGAAGTCCAGCACCATCCTTGTCACAGTCAATCGCCGCAGGTTTTCATCGACCACGACCGACCGCTCTCGACCACCGCCGACTTCCGTCGATTAACGCCTAGCGTCGTCGACCACCACCAACCGCTGCCAATCGTCGTCAACCACTTCTGACCTCTGTCAAGCACTACTGTCATCGTCAATCACTACAAATCATTGTCGACCACTGCTGACCTGAAGCCACCAGTCGACGTTTTAACTTGAAAAACCTAGTAACCATTTCCCGTCTGTGGGACAATAAGTCTCTGTAATTATCAACCTATAGTGAACTTACAACTTGGTCAAATCCCACGATTTTTTTTACGGGTTTTATACGTAAAAACTTATGGTGTCATTAGGGTTTAGGGTTAAATTCTTTTTCATAAATATGTGTTTAATTCTCGTGCAACACTAAACCCTAATGACACCATAAGTTTCTAAAGCTGCTGCCGTATTTGTGGTGAAAATTTTTCATATGGAGTCCGGACACAGCTGTACATGTGGAGTCCAGTAATACGTCGCCACGTGCACTACATCGCGGATGTTATTGGAAAGTTATTGAGGGGTTATTACGAGAGTTAAAGCAGGGGGTTATTGAAGGGAACCGCGGATTTTATTAAAGGGTTATTGCAGAGGTTATTGTAAAAGATTATTAGAGTGAAATCACAATGATTATTGAATGATTATTTATGGATTAATGAAATTAATACCCAATAACCCCCAAAATCCCCCAATATCTCCCTATAATATCTAGGGTTCCACTTCAATAACAATAACATGGGTGATTTGGGGTTATACTACAGTATTTTTTAAAGTGGGCCCATGATATGGTATGTTAGTGAAATCCCCACAACTATGCCCGGAAACCGTATGAAAAATTTTCTAGTATTTTGTGAGGGTGTATATGCGGGGAATTCCGTCCTGCAACAGCGATACCCTGCACATTTTAGAAGATAAGAACGAAGTAGGTAGTCAGGTGACCTTTAAGCGACAAGACGTATGACGACGTGGATGGTGTCAAGGCGGAATATTTTCTCCATTTAACCAACGCGACCTCGCAGCCCGTTCTCGCTTCCTCTCAATCTCAATCTCCGCATCGCCGACGACAATGAGCTGGTGGTGGTCCGGTGCGATTGGCGCCGTTAAGAAGAAGCTTGACGATGACTCCAGCGTAGCTGGAGGCAAGCATCCTAGCGTAGGCCCCGTGATCGGCG